AGATTTCTGATACGGCATTGGCTCACACAATAATGGGAGCCAAGAGGACCTAAACTCTGCTGTCATAAGCTGGAAGCCCAGGAAAGAGGTGGTTTAGTTCAAGTCCAAAGACAAGAAAACTTGGAAGCCAGTGTATAAATCCCAGAGCAAGAGAAAGTAAGATGAGACTTCCAACTTAAGAAGTGAGGCAGGAAAAAGGAGATGAATACCTCCTTCCTTTGCCTTCTTATTCTGTTAGGACCCTCAAAGGTGCCACCCCCAGTGGAGAGGGTGGCTGCCTTACTAAATCCATCCATCTGGATGCTAAGCTCATCTAGAAACGCCCCATGGTCATACACAGAGATAATATTCAGTTTGGGTACCCCACGGCCAGTCAAGATGACATTGTAGAAATCACTCATGCATTGCTGGTGGAAATCTAAAATAGCACCATCACTTCAGTTTCCTTAATAAATACAACTGCCATGTGACCCAGCAATTGAATTCCTGGGTATTAATCCAGAGGAATGAAGAGATGCTCACACAAAAACTTGTACATGAACTACAGAAGCCTTATTCATAATGACCAAAGGACAGACGCAACACAGACGTCTTTGGGCAAATGAATGGTTTAAGCACACTGGTGTATCTGCAACATAAAATATTACCCAGCAATAAAAAGAATGAACTATTGGTACAGCCACAACCTCCATGAATCTCCAGAGAATGGAGCTGACTGAAAAATGCTGACCCCAAAAGGCTATAAACTGCATGGCTCCATTTATATAACTTTCTTGGAATGAGAAAATGAAGTTAGATAATGGATTAATGGTTGCCAGGTCCTAAAGAGTGGGTGGAGCAGGAGGGAAGAAGAGCTGGCTGTAAAAGAGCAAGGAAATGTTCCCATCTTTGCTACATCAATGTCTGTATTCCAGTGAAGATGCTATACCATAATTTGGCAGGGGTTGCCACTGTGGGAGGTAAAGTAAAGTGTATGGGAGATCTGTGTTATTTCCTACAACTGCATGTGAACTCATAATCATCTCAAAATCAAAACTAATTTTTAAAAGGTATAATGAAATGATTACAGCAAAAAAAATTTGCCAGATCTATATATCATAAATTGAAGAAAAAGGCCAGTCACAGTGGCTCATACCTGTAATCCTAGCTACTGGGGAAAGGGGTGATTGGGAGGATTGAGGTTGGAGACCAGCCTGGGAAAAAGTTTATAAGACCCCAATCTTAACCAATGGCTGGGCGCTAGGCAGGGAAGCACAAATGGACCAAGGTCCAGGTTGGCCCCAGCATAAAGTGAGACCCTATCTCAGAAATAACCAATGCAAAAAGGGCTGGCAGAGTGGCTCAAGTGACTGAGCACCTGCCTAGCAAGTGTGAGGTCCTGAGTTCCAAACCCAGTACTGCCATAAATAAATAAATAGCCAAGTAGTGACCTCTTCATGTTCTCAAAGAGAAACAATCACAGTCTTTAAGGTGTCAGTTATCCCCAAAAGTTGTAATATAATTGGGATCAAGTTCCAGGTCATCTGGAGATGCTGACAAGGTAATTCCAAAACATATCCAAAAGAGTGAAGGATCAAAGCAGCCAGCAACTCCCAAAAAGGAGCCAACTGACAACCCTTGCCTTACAGTTCAGTCAGTCTAAAACTATCGTAATTAAGCCAGAAGAACTTTAGTCTTGGTACAGATGGACTAGACCAATGGAATCAAACAACCCAGAAACAGACCTGTACTAACACGGACGCCAATCAACAGAAAGAGCTAGTCTGGTCAAAAGAGGGGTTGGAATATTTGATTATTAATATGGGGAAACTAAAATTGTTTCCTTATCCTATACTAAAAAATAGCTATAAGATAACTGAACTATGAAAAGAAAGTATATTTTATTAAAAAGGTTCAGGATAGGACAGGCACAGTGGCTCATGCCTGAAATTCCAGCTATGAGGGAGGTGGAGATCAGGAGGACCTCACTTTGAGGCCACCTGAGCAAAACAAAACAACAACAACAACAAAAAAAAAACCCACAGACTCTATCTGCAAATGAACCTAAACCAAAAAAGGCTAAAGGCGTGGCTCAAGTGGTGGAGTGCCTCCCAATGCAAGGCCCTGAATTCAAACCCCTATACTGCCAAGAAAACAAAAAGCTACAGGATATTATCTTTATGTTCTTAAGATGGAAAAAGAGTCCTTAAACAAAGGCTAATTATAAAGGAAAGTATTAATGAAGTTCAACTAACTTAAAATTACCAAAATATGCAGGGCACCCTTGGCTCACCCCTGTGATCTTAGCTACTCAGTTGGCAAAGATCAGGAAGATCTTCAAAGCCAGCCCAGGTAAATAGTTCTCTAGACCTTATCTTGAAAATACCCTTCACAAAAAAAGGGCTGGCGAAGTGGCTCAAGGTGAAGGCCCTGAGTTCAAACCTCAGTATTGCAAAAAAATAATAATAGAGTGAAAAGAAATGTAAAAACTGGAAAAAGTCATTTACAATACCTATAACCAGCAAGCTTAGTTTTTAGAACATATAAATACTTTTACAAAGAACCAATAAGCAAAAATTCAACAACCACATTTTAAAAAAGAATACAAAAAGTCCTATGAAAGGCATTTATCAAAGGAAGATGCACATAAATGCTTACTGTCATTAGTAATCACAGAAATGAGGATTAAATGCAAATGAAACACTATTTCATTTTATTGTATTGAAAAAATAAAAAAATCTAGTAACACGATGTTGGTGAAAACAAGAACCCAGGGGTGCTGTACATTGTAAATGGAGCCATGTGTCAGTGGCTCACATCTGTAATCCTAGCTACTCAGGAGGCAGAGATCAGGAGGATCACTGGTTGAGGTCAGCCAGGGCAAATAGCTTGAGAGACCCTACCTCAGAAATGCCCAACACAAAACAGAGCTGGTGGAGTGGCTCAAGTGGTAGAATGCCTGCTTAGCAAATGTAAGGCCCTGAGTTTAAATCCCAGTACCACCAAAAACCTCCCTGGAATATGGAAATTGGAAAGCCACAGGCATCATTTAGTAAAGATGAAGCTGACCAAATGACCCAACAGTTTCATTCCTAACACAGTCTCTGAGATCCCCTCATGTCTGTGTATCAAAGAGACAAGTTCAAGAACATTCACAGAAGCATGGTTTGCTTTACCAGAAAACCTGAAGAAGATGCAAATATCCATCAAAGGGCCAGTACATCAGTAATCGGTGATACAGACCATCAGCTATGCAATCGATGTTGATTGAAAGGGGGGGGGGATGAGGGAAGAACACATCTAAGAGTATTCTTTTTCTATAAAGGTTTAAAGCACGTAAAACTATAATAAAAAGCAAAGAGATGATTAAGATGAAAATTCAGGATAGAGATGACCCTGGAGGTAGGGCCATAGGGAATGTGTTCGGAGAGTATGCACCAGGGTTTAAAACCTATTGCTCATTCTTCCACTTCTTAAACTATGAGAAGTTTCATCATCTTTAAGTTGTACAAACACAACATGTATGCCGTTTGTATGTGTAAGACTTCATACTATTTTTACAGCAGAGGCATGGAAGGTTTGAGCAGGATGGTCAGCTGTGAGACTCAGGAAGAACGGGACAATGGGGTATAGCAGTGGACTGTGTGGGCAGGCACATGGGGGAGGCTGGGGTGAGGCAGGAATGATGGGGGGAGGCACAGGGCTGACTGAGCCCAAGGAGGGGAGGAAGGGCCAAGGGACTGGAGGGTTCACAGAGCGAAGAAGAAATGGAGAAGGAGGCAAGAAAATGAGAACAGAAGGAGGTGGGAAGAAAAGAGGGAACGAGAGAAAGAAGAAGGGGAGGTACCGGAGGAGAGGGCAGGAAGGAGGGAGAAGGAAGGGAAATGGGTGAAAACAGCTATGGGTCAGCTATAAGGTCCTGGTCCCATTCCACCAAATCCTCCTGGCTCTCAGCTGCTTGGTGACCTTGAACAAACCCCTTTAAATCTCCTTGCTTGTGAGAAATTCTGGCTTCCTCAGTCTGTTCTGAGGCTCAAATGACAGGGAGAGAGGCCTGGGAGAGGCACCACCAGGAGTGCCCAGGTAATACTCCCTGAGAACCTCAGAGCACAAGCATGGTTCTGGCCAGTGAGCCCTTGGGGAAAGACAAAGCTTCCACCTGCCACCTGTCTCTGTCTCTGTCTGTCTGTCTCTCTCTCTCTCTCTCTCTCTCTCTCTCTCTCACACACACACACACACACACACACACACACACACACACACACACACACAGGGCATCTCCCCGTTCCTCCATGTCTGCTGTGGCTTGCATGGACTGGGATACTTGTTTGTATTAAGGGAAGATCTTGACAGAGCCATAGAGCAACAGTTGTGCAACTTGTGCTCTGTGCAATCCTCGGAGACGCCACTCCCAGCCTGGTCTTCCTCCCTGTGACAGTGGCCTCCTTGCAGCTCACCATGTTGTGCCACATGCGACATCTCATTCAGTTCTTAGGTTCTGTTACCTTAATTTTACACAAGATGAAACCCAGGCTAAAAGACAACCTTACCCAAGCAGCACAACAGAGCAAAGCTAGAGTTTAAACTTTGTTCTGCCCAGTTCCCAGGCCAGGAGCACACTGGAGTCTGAGTGCAGGGTTGGTACAGAAAGCCAGTCACCTTAACCCTTGTCACTATCCTAGTCCTCAGGTATCCATCCCAACAATGCAGGCCAGCCCCAGGAAAGCACTACCCAGAGCCCCTGGGGATGCCGGGGTCAACTACTGGGGGACCAGCGCCCAAAGAGCTGGATTTGGGCTGGGGGCTGGTTTTTGCTCCCAATCAGCTGGTCCACTCCAAGCCTCAGTTTCCCCATCCGACCCACGCAGGCAGACGATCGCGTGCCCTCAGGGGACCCGCCGGGCCCGCCCCCGGGGGTGGGGCTGGGAGTGGTCACGTGGAAGGGATCCGGCCTGGAGCCGCGCCCCGTCCCCGCGCTCTGGCCCTCCGCCCACTCGCCATCTGGAGGCCGCCGAGGGCGCGGTACGGGATCGCGACGCGCCGCCACGCCGGGACTGGTGAGGTCGGCGCCGCCGCGGGGACCTGGGGGCGCCAGCTCGCTGCTCCGCCCGCTCCCGGCCCGCTGTGCACGCGGCTGGACCCGCAGCAGCAGCAGCAGCAGCAGCGAGGACTCGAGCGCAGGCGACAGCAGCGACACCATGGATCTGTCTTTTATGGCCGCGCAGGTAAGTGGGCACCTTCCCCACGCGCCAAGTTTGAGGAGGTTCCGGGCCACAGCCTCCCCTCGTCGCCACCGAGCGTAGCGGGAGTGCTGGGGCTGGGCAGTGGCGCCCGCTCTGGATCCATGTCCTGGTCCTTTGTCCCGAGCTGGGCAGCCCCACCTGCTGCCCGCAGCTCAGAGCGCGGCGAGCTTGGCTCTCCCGGCTGGCCCACCTTGCGCATCCCAGGGTGGAGCTGTCCTCACTCGTGTCCCACTCCCTGGCAAGAAAGCGGTGAGGACCTGGGCAGTCCCCAGCCCCCATCTGCTGGTTACCCCAGAGTCCTCCAAGGCTGGAAAGCCCAGATCACCGCGAATGGGGTGAATGGACAACCTCCCTCTTCCCCACTCTATTTTTGCGAGTAGGGATAACGTGTCACTTGCTCGTGTGACCTCAGGGCCCCCTCCCCCACCCTTCCCCCACCCCCCTTCCCTCATCCCCCTCACCCTTCCCCCACCCCCGCTTCTAGTCTCTGTGGATGGGGATCATAGCCCCTGCTGCATAAAGAAGACAGAGCAGCTTTGTGACCAGCCAAAAGATCGTTTTATCCAATTTCGCTTTGTGTTGGGTCTGGTTAGCCACCGTGACCAGCATAACCATGATCCTCCCTCCACACTCAACAGGCCTCTCATGGCTGGGAAGACAAATGACCCCTCACTGCCCCTCCTGCTCGCAGCCCCAGGAGAATCCCCTGAGTTCATGTTTATGTTTCCTGCCTAGCTCTCTTGAGTCAGAACACAGACCAGTGCCTCTTTCTGGAGCTTTGTGTAGCCCCAGGAAGAACCAGGGCTGACCACAATCTGGCTTCACATTCAGCTGGGGGAAGTTAAGTCCCAATCCTCAACTAGATCAGGCCCCTTCCCAGGGTTGTGCTGCAAGTAGAGAGCGGCAGGGTGGCCTCCCGGCTCTCATCTGTCCCCTGGCAAGGCCACCACCTGCTGCTGTTTTCTTTCACAAGAATGATCTCTGAGGGACATGGTCTTTTTCCTCAAACTTCCCCTGTGATGGAAGGCTGTTTAAATATTATAGCAAAAGTCATCTTCAAACAGAGGCGTCAAAAGGACACACAGCCCCCAGCTTGGCTCTGGGGAATGAATCCAGGGTCTAGTCTTTGGCAGCTCCTACTAAGTTTTCCATAATGCTAATTGCTGTTATGAGTGTTGCTGGTCATTTTTCCCCTGATTTTCCATTTCCTGTTCCTAACCCCATTCTATAACTATTGTCAGATAGAAAAGCAGTTGTCACTGTGGGAGAGAGAGGTGGCTTTAGCTACGAGGTTTCCGGGATTTATTTCTAGGGGTGAGAGGAGCTCACACTAGTGGGTGGCTGCCTCAGATCCCACAGAGTGCTGGTGTTTCCATGGTTACAAGATAAAATGCTCACTGCTAACCCTGGGGCTGGCTGGAGCATCAGCAGTTGCTATGGTGACTTGACAAAATAAACACAGGGCTTTTCAACACCTATAGGCAGAACATGTAGAGAGACTGGGTTCTTTTTCTTTTTTTTGTTTACAATTCACATTTTACTTGGTCCATTTATTCCTGCCTCAGACATTTGGCACAATTACATGCTCAGTACTGTGTGAGCTGCAAGGAACAGAAATGTGAAGTGTCACACTAGCACCTACTCTGAGCCAGATGCCACACACTGGGCACACTCTAGTAGAGTAAATCCTTACACATCTGTGACATAGGCTCTGTTACTCATTTTACAGATCAGGATACCGAACTTCCACAAGAGTAAACAATTTGCCCAGGGACACACAATTAGTAGGAAGAGAACTGGGTTTCCAACCCAGACCTGAAAATCTGCAGAGCTGCTGGGTTTTGCACCTTACTGCTAATCCTGAGAAAGACACAGTGTAGGAGAGGGGTGGCTCATCTCTCCCCTCTACCTAGAAGTGGGCTCACATAGTGCCTCTCTCATAGCCTGCACTGGCTGTGCTTCCTGGCATGGATCTGTCTGTCCTACCTATTTCTGTAGGATGGGAACTGTTACTTCTTTACCTGAAGCAATAGCAGTGGTTGGCTGGAGTGAGTGCTCAGCACCTCCCCTGGTGTGTACAGTGACATTAGACATGCGTGACAGTCAGTGTCCCCACACACAGTCTTTCCCTCAGCACTTCACAGAGAAATGTCAGCGCACCATCCACTTCTTCAACATGTTGTTGATGTGGCTTTTTTGCCAAGATCTGAGTCAGGCTCCAGGACAGGAGTGCCGTGGGGACAGAGTTGAATGGGACGCAGATCTTCCTTCTGGGTGCTTATGGAGCACAGGACAAATGATGGACCAGGCCAAGACCCAGCAGGCCAAGTGCTAGGTCCTAAGAAGCCTGCAGCTTCACCTGCTTGTGTTGGGATGCTCACTCTAGGGGGACCAGCGCCATGTAGAAGAGCCTGCCACATATTGGACCAGCACTCATTAAATGAGTGTGGGATGGGCAAGAGACAAAACGCCACCTCCCCATGTCCTGAAGGTACAGTCCTCCGTGGACTAAGCATGCCTATAGCATAGGAGCTCAACCTTGACACTGTCCCTGTAGAGACCAGGCTTAGCCCAGTATCCTCAGATGTTGCTGCCACCTGCAAGCTTCAGGAGTCCCCAACCCAGGTCACACCCAGACAATCCTGTCAGTTTCTCCCATCAGAATCTGGAGCTGGGCCTCAGGGCTTCCAATGCTCAGTCAAGTCTGAGACCTCGGCGGGGCATGGTGGCTCATGCCTGTAATCCTAGCTATTCAGGAGACAGAGATTGAAAGGATGTCAGTTTGAGGCCAGCTCAGACAAAAAGTTAGCAGGAGTCCATCTCAGTTAATAAGCTGGGGCTTAGTGGTATGGGTCTGTGATCCCAGCTGCAGGAATGCATAGATAGGAAGATTGTGGTCTGAGGCCAACTGGACCAAAAATGTGAGATCTAATTTGAAAAATAACTAAAGCAAAAAAAGGATTGGAGCAGGCACTTATACTGTCCCCCTTGGAAAGCCAGGGAAGCTTGGCTGCAAGCAGAGAACCAGGTGTGACGCCCCCCTCTGTTGGCTCAAGACTGTCCTTCCATGTCATCCCTCCTTCAGGGCAGTTCAAGAATTGGGGTTCAGGGGCCCTGCATGAATCAATTTCAAGGAATCATCCATCCTCCCATATGTACAAAAATGTCACATATGTGTCCATTTTTAAGCAAATTCTTAAAGTAGTCCCTGTCAGTTCCCCAGGGCTTCTGTAACCAAGTACCACGGAATATGTGGCTTAGAGCAACAGTTCCCAAGGCCAGAGGCCCACTGTCACCATGTTAGCTTGGCCCTGTCTCTGTGGAGGCCTGAGGAGAGTCTCTTCCCTGCCTCTCTCAGCGTCATGGTGCTGCCTGAGTTTCTGATGGCTCTTGGTGGTCACCTGGGTGTGCCTGTGTCTCCTCATCCAGACACCAATCTTGTTGGCTTAGGGCCCATACTAATGACCTCATCTTGATCACGTCAGCGGGGATTCTGTTTCCAAGTAAACTCGTCTTCAGAGGTGCTGGGGACTTCAGAACATCTTCTGAGGGAACACATTTCCCACCTGGAAAGGATCTGAAGACCCATAAAGGACCTTGGCTCTCCTGTCATTTGCCACTGGGCTTTGAGAGGTGGTAAATGGTCACTTCTCTGAACCTCAAGTTTCTTTTTCTGTGACATGGGGATACAACACTGATCACTTGGATCATTCAGCAGTGCTCCCTGTGTGCCAGGCACTCTCTACAGGGAGTGTGAGGAGTGTGGGATGAGTGGGGGGCAGGTGTGACCCAGGTGCTGCTGAGTGCCACAGGGCAGGATGGGGATAAACACAGGAGCCCAGCAAAGCTCAATCTGAATCCCAGGTGGCTGCTGTGGACATGGGAGCGAGGACACTGCGCGGGGAGGGGACAGTGTGCACAAAGGTTTGAAACACAATCTCCTTGCAGGTGGGGTTGCATTCGTTTGAAACGGGCAGGCAGTGAGGGAGTGGGAGATGGGGCTGGCCAGGTGATCTCACAGAGTGGAGCAGGGTGGGCTGTGGTGCCCTGGGGAGAGGGGGTCCAGTCCGAAGGGCACACCTGCTTAGCTACGGATGTCTCTGGGCCTTAGAAAAAGCTGAAATGGTGGTTTTCACATGCACACTGGGTTTTTAATGTTGACAACTAATTAGAAATTTTTAATCAACCTTCCAACCGTAATATGGGCTGCTTCAGTTACTTACAGCTTATTATTTTGGTTATTTAATGGCTTTGAGCAATCGTTTATTTTGTGAGCAAAATAAATGAGTTTTATTTTGTGGGACCAGAATTTAAGAAGGATTCTTGAGCTCAGCTAGATGGTTCCCTTTGGCTCTGGTGGCCTCGGCTGAGGCAGTGGGGGCTGGAGTGCAGACTTCCAGCATGTGGGTTCTTTATGCACCTCTGGCCACTTGGCCACTCTCTCTACCTGGTGTTTCATCTTGCGGGGGCTTTCTTTCTTTTTTTTCTTTCTTTCCTTTCCCCATGTGGTAGTACTGGGGATTGAACTCACAGCCTTGCACTTGCAAGACAAGAGCCCTGTTACTTGAGTCACACCCCTAGTCCTTTTGCTTTTGTTAGTTTCTTTTTCATCGAGAGTCTCAGTTTTGCCCTGTTGGACTCAGACCATGGTCTTTTTTATCTCCACCTCCTGGGTAGCTGGGATTACAGGTGTGAATAACCATGCCTATCTTGTTTTTAAGACAGGGTCTAGACAACTTTTTTGCCTAGACTAGCCTTGATGGGCCATCCTCCTGGGTAAGGGGTTATAGGAACGCAATGTCATGCCTGGCCTGTAAGGGTTTCTTCAGTGGCTTGGGCTTCTTCCCAGCATGGAGGTCTCAGCATTGCTGCACTTCCTTCATAGTTCTGGCGTCCCCTAGAGCAAACATCGGCAGTCCCAGACAGATGTTGCAGGCTCCTTAGGGTCTGGTCCTGAGGGTCCCAGAATGTCACTAACACTA